GCTCTGCTCTTTCTGACCGAGACGCAAGTGTCCTCTCCGGCTGATGTCTCGTATCGACAACAAACTGGAACACTCCTTTGTGCCTCGGGCTGGAGTTTGCGTTTACGTCAGAGAGGACATCTGTTCTCGACGCCTCGGCAAACTTGAAGGTTCGGACCTGTCCATCCTTTGGCTAGGCGTAGACAGCGACGAAAATCCGCGCGTCTACGGGTGCCTCTATAGGTAGCGGTAATGCCGAAACAGACCGACTCTTCGACCACGTCCAAATGGCTACAGATTCGTTGCTACAGCAGATCCCCTCCCCAGAGATCGTGATCCTCGGCGACTTTAACGCCCATCACGCCGAATGGCTTGGTTCACGTTTAACCGATCATGCGGGGAGATGTGTTCATGATTTTGCCTTGGCATATGGTCTGACATAACTGGTTACTTCGCCTACGCGGATTCCAGATGTGGAGGATCATGCACCTTCCCTGTTGCACCTTCTGCTGACCTCTCACCCGGACGGAAATCAGATTTCCTTCGACGCCCCTTTAGTCTCCTCGGACCAATGTCTTGTTCGGAGTGTGGTGCCACTCACGCTGAAATCGCAGTTGCATTCTGCAGGCTGCTGCCGTTTTTGGCACTATAGGTCAGCCGATTGGAATGGGATGCGGTCTTTCTTTGCAACCTACCCTTGGGGGCGAGTTTGCTTCCCGCCGGACGATCCCAACGTTGTTGCGGATTCTGTCGCTGATGTGGTACTTCAGGGTATGGAACTTTTTATTCCTTCCTCTGTGGTGCCCATTGGAGGCAAATCTCAGCCATGGTTTGGTCGCTCCTGTAAAATAGCATCATGCTATAAGCAAGAGTGCTACCAAGCCTGGGCTGAAGCATCAATGTCCCGGGATGTAAACACCAGCGCTCTAAAAAAGAAGTATAATTCCGCCTCTAGGTCCTTCAAAAGAGTCATTGCCAAGGCAAAGTCAGAGCACATAGGCAGAATCGGCGAGAAACTAGTTCGCCTTCCTTCTGGAACTCGTGCATTCCGGTCTCTCGCCAAGGCTGTCCAGGGGAATTTCTGTCAGCCATCTCTTCCATCTCTGCACAGGGAGGACGACTCACTGGCCCATACCGCGAAGGAGAAAGCCGATCTTCTAGGCTCTTTCTTTACGTCCAACTCGACTCTCGATGACGGCGGGAGTACGCCGCCGACCATCCGGCGGTGTGAGTGCTTCCATGCCGGAAGTGCAGTTCACACAGCGCTCGGTTCGCAAAGCACTCCTCTCCCTGGACATCCACAAGTCGAGTGGGCCTGACGGAATCCCCCCAATTGTGCTGAGGACGTGTGCTCCAGAGTTGGCACCGGTTTTAACGCGTTTTTTCCGGTACTCCTACTCCCTAGGCGTAGTCCCAAAATCATGGAAGACGGCTTTCGTCCACCCGATCCCTAAAAAAGGCGACCGCTCAGACCCGTCCAACTACCGGCCTATCGCGTCACCTCCTTATTCTCCAAAACAGTGGAGTCCATTGTAAACTACCAGCTCATGAGGTACCTTGAGGGTCACCAGCTGATTAGTGACCGCCAATACGGTTTTCGCCGTGGTCGGTCAGCTGGTGATCTTCTGGTCTACCTAACTCACAGATGGGCGGAGGCAGTAGAGTCCAAGGGGGGAGGCATTGGCCGTTAGTTTGGACATTGCGAAGGCCTTCGATCGGGTTTGGCACAAAGCGCTTCTTTCGAAGCTCCCATCCTATGGGCTTCCCGAGAAATTGTGCGATTGGATCACCAGCTTTCTTGCAGATCGGGGCATCAAGGTCGTTGTAGACGGTGCAAGCTCCGATTGCTAGCCTATTAATGCTGGTGTTCCACAAGGCTGCGTGCTATCGCCAACGCTGTTTCTTCTGCATATCAATGATATGTTGCAAGCCCGTAACATTCATTGCTATGCAGATGACAGCACTGGTAGATGCTCTTTACACCGGCCGAGCTAATATTTCTCGGGAAAACGTCTCCGAGTGCCGGGACAAACTTGTGTCTAAAGTCGAGTCTTTGCTGAACAGAGTCTCGGATTGGGGGCGACTAAATCTAGTCCAGTTTAACCCCTAGAAGACACAAGTTTAAGCGTTAACCGCTAAAAATAACCCCTTTGTCGTATCTCCTCAGTTTCAAGGCACTCCCCTTGTTGCCTCAGCCAGTATCGGAATCCTCGGCGTCGACATATCCAGTGACGTGCAGTTTCGTGGTCACTTGGAAGAGAAGGCCAAATTGGCCTCTAAAAAGCTTGGCGTGCTCAGCAGAGCGGGACAGTATTTCATGCCGGCACACCGCCTGCAACTTTACAAGGCGCAGGTTCGGCCGCACATGGAATACTGTTTCCATCTCTGGGCTGGGGCTCCCCAGTACCAGCTCCTTCCACTTGACCGCATCCAGCGCAGAGCGGCTCGAATCGTCGACGACCGAGTGCTTTCCGATCGGTTCGATTCACTGGCAGTGCGAAGAGATGTTGCATCTCTTTGCATTTTCTTTCGCATATACCATGTAGAGTGCTCTGAGGAATTGTTCGGATTAATCCCAGCCGCCAAATTTCGTGAACGCACTATGCGGCAAACGTCCCGATACCATCCACACCATCTGGATGGTTGGCGGTCCACCACTGTACGCTTCAAGAGAAGTTTTCTTCCGCGTACAACCTCTCTGTGGAATAGTTTACCACCAGCGATTTTTCCGGACCGATACGACCTGGGGACCTTTAAGAAAAGAGCATACTCCTTTCTAAAGGGCCGGCAACGCACCTGCAATTCCCCTGGTGTTGCGGTTGATCATGGGCGGCGGTAGTCACTTAACATCAGGTGAGCCGCATGCTCGTTTGCCCCCTCTTCTATAAAAAAAAAACCATAAACAAAGTTCAAGGTCAAACTCTTAAGGTAGCAGGAGTAGACTTTCAGGCAGTAGTAAGTGGCATGCTCCAGAGTAAGCACACAGAGTAGCCTGGTGATTCTAGCACCCGAAAGGAAAACAAAAAATATGAGTAAGTAATAGGTTTATGTATGAACTAAGGAACCCATCTCTGGCTGGGAGGTCGTCTAGATAGGTATCATCCTCTTCCCTAGTAGCGGTATCTATACATATAATAAATCTATAGAAAAGTCGTGTCTGTAATTCTAATATTTCCTGGAAAAAATAAGTCCAGGGGACTAAATAAAGGATACTGAAGCCAAATTACTGTTTTTTAGAATTTTTGTCTGTCTGTCTGTCTGTCAGTGTATTAGAGATTCACGCAAAAACTACTCGACAGATCTCCATGAAATTTATGTACGCACGTTAGTGACCCGGAGCTACTTATAGACTACTTTTTATCCAATTACGGAACTTAAAAAAGGGGGGTTAAATATTTTCCTTTCTTTAGAAGTTTGTTTTCTATTATGTATGATTCTGTTAGTTATAAGCGGGATAACTTAGTGTTTTTTTAAACGCATACAATATTTATAATTAAAATTTAAAGTTTGATTTAACTGTTATATAATAATTTAAAACTACGCCAACGATATACATTGTACGTGTCCGAAACAGCGCCATCTGTCATAAAAAGTAAAAAGATACTACTTTTTTTAGGCTTCAGTTATCACTTTATCAGTTACTAATAAATTAAATAACATAGATAATTTTAATCTATATGTTTAAATAATTATATTTATTAAATGGTTTGAAACTTCTAAGATTTATTTTAAGTTTTTTATTCTTTCATTTTAACCCTTTACGGCGCAAGAACTAGTTTTTGATTTTATCCATTGAAAATAGGTTAAGACGAGCGACACAATAATGAAAAAAATTATTAAAAAATCATATGTTAAAAAAGTATTTATTTTTGGAAAAATACAACGTGATGCAGATGTGCATCATGGTGTGAAAACAGATAAAAAAGTTAGTTGTGAATGGATTCCGTCCTTTCGTAACTTACGAATTGTGAAAGGAACGGAAACAGTTATTATTTCTGTTGAAACATAAGGCTACGCCACACTTTCCACATTCGGTTTGGGCTGTTCCAGTACAGTCTGGAAATTTACACTTTTTTCCGTCCAAACTGGCCAGTGCCCTAACTGGTCTAGCCGAACATCTTTCGGCGGGATATGCTGACAAGCCCCTTTTTTCTTTTTGTCTTGGATGAGTACTTCCACGTCACTGGTGCGCTTCAGGCGGTTCGTTTTTTATATCTTACTAATGTTTCAGCAATTTCAAGTCGAAAATCTGCAGAACTTAGCAGCTTCTCAGTATTTTCAGTGTCAGCATGAACCCTTCTATATAATAACCAAGAATTAGTCATGGTCATGTCCAGAAAATGGTAAAAGAGTCTTATAAACCAACGTTTGCTACGAAGTTTTATTTTATAGTGACCCATTACACAGTCCATAAGGTCTACACCCCCCATGTGACGATTATACTCTGCCACTATAAAGGGCCGTTCCACATTGATGTGTTTGTTTTGCGACTTGTCAAATCTACTTACAACAGATGTGGGATTTTTGCCAGCAAAGTTTGATACTAGGTTCATAATTTTATTATCTCTCCAGGCCACCACTGATATGTTAATACCGTTATAGCTTGCAAACTGTTCGACTGACGTATCTCTGGGTGCTTTTTTCAGCTGTTTCTCATCTGGGAGCTTACAGTTAGGGATGCGGTTTCTCCTAACGGTGCCCAAAGCTAATATACCACGGTGTGATAAGAACTCCATCAAAGGTAGGGATGTAGAGTAGTTGGCAAAAAACAGTCTATAGTTTTGGTTGACAGGAATCTCTCAGGCAAGTCGGACTACTACATTGGATGAGGCACCTAATTGAGGCTCGCCAACTGCGCATATATTCTCCTGGCCACTGTATACTTCAAACTTGTAACCGTATCCACTTACACCACAAATCACGAACAGTTTGAAGCCCCATTTGTGGGGTTTGTCTGGCAAATACCGTTTTAGAGCACTCCGTGCTTTGGTTGAACACATTTGTTCATCAACAGACAAATGTTATTGTAGTGGTACTTTTCCAAAATTACGGTTCAGTTTTTGTATTATGGGTCTGATTTTATACAGACTATCAGAGTTTGGCTGACCATATGGTAGCATTTTAGAATTATCATTGAAGTGTAGTACTTGCCTCAAAAACTCGAACCGTTTTAGCGGCATCTTCTCGCGTATGTGGGCATAGCCATATTTCTCTGACCAGTACATTCGCACATTAGGCAGATGAACTATGGACATGAAGTGAGTAATTCCAACAAACTCCCTTATTTCCTGGCTTGTGACGTTTATAGATTTATCGGCATCTTTTTGCACGTTGTACAGGTTAGTTTCATCTCTAATCAGAACCACAATGTCGTCAGTGAATAAATAAGAAAATACATGATAAGGCGTCTTCAATTCCAGTGTTTCATTTGGTAACTTGGAAGATCCCCGAAACCTCATCTGGTCTTCATTCAGATCTAAGTTTTTAGTTTTCCATATGATACTTGTTTTAGGAACACATGTGCTTCGTGGTGTGGTTCCAATTTCGGAGCTGGTCTTACATGGTTGAGCTGAAGCGCTGGTATTAGCCTCAGAGTTCGTTATCAAGATGTTATCGTCCTGATCTCCTAGGTAGGGAACTTCGGGCTCCTCATCTGACTCTTGACGTAAATTTTGTTCATTTACCTCCAATACGTACGATGGATCAGCTACATCATCGTCGTCTGAGAAATCTAAGCTATCTTCACTATATTGCCATTGTTCTAAAATGCTTTCCAAGTCGTCGGACGACAAAATTGGAAGCCTAGGAACTGAACATGGAATTCTCGAACTCATATTGGGCCTGAAATAAGAAAATATGCATATGAGCAAAAAAAGAAATAAGTTATAACCGTTTAGCGCAATGATGCATTACTGCATCAAAACAAAAATCAAAACCATCTCTGTAAAAACAATATAAATAGTTTGAATTATATGTTATTATTGTAAACCAATTACTTACCGTTACTCCACAGCAATTTTACTTCAATATTTTCAATATAACTATTCAAAAACAACAACGAAAGTCGCGCGCTAACTACACACACCGGTTCTCGTAGACTGGTAATTTCGACTGGTCAAAAATTACAAATAACGCCATCTATCACAAATTTTGGTATTTATTTCGATAGAATGCTCTGCTGCGGACAATGCAATGCTGCGTTATAAAGTGTTTTTTTCGTTTCTTTGAACTACTTTGCGGGTTCGACTAATATGAGGCAGATCTGCTATTCAGCGCCGTAAAGGGTTAATAGTAAAAATTTTAATAGATAACAATGAAATCTATGAAAATTCAGATGGTTTTTAATTTTTTTTTATTACCTAATATATAATAATGAAATGGTTAACATTGGTTTGCCTGCGATTATTGCAAAACTGTCATTACACTTATACTTTATTTAAAAATATTTTTGTATAATCGGGGCCAGATCGTAGAATTGATTTCATCATGAATATTCGATCATTACATGAAATTGCGGCATTTCGTGAAATTTAACACTGTCTGTTGGCCATATCATAATAAGGCTTGACCAAATCGATGAATAAACATTGTTTGAAGAAATTAACAACTAAACCCAACATTGCTTTTTCATAATATTCTAATTATATCGTAAAATAGTTCCACTGTTCACCGCCAGCGGCGCCGATTGCATTTTAACAAACGAATTTTTAACAGAACTCACATAACTCTGTGCCTCATCGCGAACATTTAAATAATATATACACATATATATACATATATATTTTTTTATATATATATATATATAAATGTTCGCGGCTTTGAGGTAGCCCAAGGATCACCCCAGCCGCATATCAATCTACTGTCGCTGATGTTACTAGATGGTGCTTTCGTATGATATTATGGCGAAACGAGAACTGACTTCGTAGATTCAATTGTAGATTGAGGATAAATTTGACAAACGTTGACATCTATACGGTACCAGCGATTCACCCCGGTTTCGGCTACGGGGACCCACATAAATACACACAAATTACAAATTTCATTAAAATCGGTGAGTTATAGCGAGACTATCGGACAGCAATTGATTTCTATATGTATAGATTACTATAATATGCATGTATATATATAAACTTTCCTCTTGAATCATTCTATCTATTGATGAAAACTTCATCAAAATTCTAAAAAAGATCTAAGCGTACAGGCGGTGGGAAGCGACTGATTTTTATACTAAGTATATAGAGCTGGTCAGTAATAATAGGCTATCATGAAATGATTGCAATATTTGAAGTGGTCCAGTACTTCATGATAACTTCATAATAATTCTACGATCTGGCCACATTTACATAACTTGAGAGTTTTGATTTCATAGTTTTAAAATAAAATTAGCGCCAACTATTTACTGCTAAATAAACTAATAATAACTGCTAATTGCATTAAGATACCTCAGAAGTCATAACCGATATAAAAAGTGACAGGGGTTGCTAGACGTATGATATTAATGCAATTGTAAAAAAAAAACCTACATCTCTAAGAATTCAAAAGATATCACTTGACTAACAAACGTGACAACACGTACAAGGGATCCAACTTTACTGATTCTGGTATGGAGCAGTATTAATGATGTTCCTCAACGGAAGCCCACGCGAGCGAAGCCGCGGGTAAAAAGCTAGTAGGTAAATAAAGGCTGTAAGGCATGCGATCTCAGTCCATAGAGATGACAACGACTTACCATCGTCAGGTAGACTGTAAGTTCGTTGAATACCTACTGAAGTTTAAAAATAACTTTAACTAATAAATACTAAAAAAATAAAAAAAAATAATAAAAAACTAAAAAAATGTTAACTATAAAGTATTACAGTTAACATTTTTATAAAATGTATTTTCGAAATGTCGAGGTTCAATATTTATTTTTTTATTATAGCCAGCTTTTTTGGCACAATACCACGGGGTGTAGGACTGCACGATAATTTAAGTTTGTATATTTATTTATTTTCAACATTTTATGTATTTCAATGTTTGTTTAAATGTTCGCAATATGTCGCCATGTTAGTTTTTATGTGCACACAATACTTTTTTTTAAACATATCTAATTTGTCAACATAAAGTCAATAACGTAAAAGATTTAAAGGAACGGATGAACATACATACATACATAACCCTCTAAAATTGTAACCAGCCTTTTAGCTTCGCCGTAGTTGAGTAAAAATATTCACTTACATCTTCTGTTTCAAATCCTTCTGATCTGCGCTCTACACGTTGGCCAACACAGTGGCGAATGTAGTGGCCAATAGCATTGGTCACGTGTGGAGCGGGTGTTTGGGCTTCATTGGTTTGTATTAGAACGATGGCCCACAAGTTGGCGCGACATCCGTGTGGTGTCGGTTTTTACAAAAGTTCAAAGGATTGTTGGCAGAGTTTGGTCGCCGCGTCCACACATTGGGCGCGCGTTTAGTATGCTACAAGCTCTCAGAGTGATTACACGCATCTGATTTAAATTTTATATTCACGCTTGTAGGGTGAATACCCCGTCTTTTAGTGCCAATTTCAACTTTAAACATTCCTACTACTTTAATTAGCGCGATTTAATTATTTTTAAACATTTGTTTTAATCGATAAGCTATTTATCAAAAAGAAAATGAACATTTATTTGATGATTATTACGAGAACAATTTTAAAATGAAAAAAAAATTAAAGCACGTCGTTTATACGTGGTAGAACCATGCAGTTATATTAGAAGTATAGTTGTAACACGAATGGGTTGGCTCGACCGGGGAAGGACCACGCTCTCACAGAATATCAGCGTAACATAGTAGCTTAATGATGCTGTGTTTCGTATAGTGAGTGTAGAGAACCAGAGACCATTTTTAAAGGAAACGAGGCATTTCATCTTAGTCCTCACGGGTGACAACGCATTTTGATTCGTAATCGAGGATAGATGTAGATGTCTGTGGGCCACAGCAACCACTTACCATCAGGTGAACTGTGTGCTCGTTTGTCACCCTATCCTATAAAAAAACGTCGATTTCTTATAATTTAATCATGCAAGTTTTCGAACCATCATCATCATTACAGCCCTTTACAAGTCCACTACTGAACATCCTTCTCCACAGAATGCCGCAAAGTTAAGTTCTAATTAATGGTATTTATTTCAGTTTATGAATTATGTAAGGAATAAATAAAGTTAAATAAATAAATAAATAAAATTCTCGTTTATAACAGCCCTGATTATTACATGGCTGAAATACAGTACTTCTTATTAGTTACGTGAAACCAAATATCAGCCTGACGGCTGACAATATGCACTTCATACGTTTCGTACCTATATCTTATTTTTTTTAGGATAGGGTGACAAACGAGCACACAGTCCATCTGATGGTAAGTGGATGCCGTGGCCCGTAGACATCTACATCTGTCCTCGATTACGAATCAAAATGCAGATGCGTTGTCACCCGTGAGGACTAAGATGGAATGCATCGTTTCCAGTAAAAAGGGTCTCCGGTTCTCTACACTCACCATACGAAACACAGCAGCATTAAGCTACCATTTGACGCTGGTATTCTGTGAGAGTGTGGACCTTCCCCGGTCGAGCCGACCCATTCGTGCTACAACTATACATATACTACTAATATAACCGCAGCGTTGCTCTACCACATATAATCCCATTACTAATTACAGCCCCATTAATATTCACTATTCTTTTATAATTCTTTTATAAAAACGTTACCCCCACACTAGAAATTTCTCCTGTATCGCGGAGGCAGTTTACAAACATAAATTGCACAAGGACACACATCCAGACCCGGAACAATTATTAGTAGGACATACAAATACTTGTTCCGCGCGGGATTCAAACGCGCGGCTCCCGGCGCAGCGACTCATTGCTAAGCCACTGCGCCACGGAGCCGTCGTCTAAAATAAAATAAATTCGTCCGCACATTGGCCTGAACCTTCCAACGTCTGGACGCCGTCCCAACTCTTCTCTACTCTACTCTACTCTCGGCCAATCTATATTCGCCACTGAGTTGGCCAACGTGTAGAGGCGCCGTGACGCGAATATACTGCAATCGGTATCGAAAATTGAAATTGAGGCAGGCAATGCATGGTGCAGCACTATTTTATCACCCAAACATGTACATTACACGCACTGGTGTACATTGACTTTGGTCTAGCTTTAATTATTCCATCGCCAATCTATACTATACTCTATCGATGTGATAAATTATCGTGCATTTGCGGAGTTTGGACAAATAAGTAGATACATACTTTATCAAATTTCGTTTAATATAATATTTTTAGATTTTATCAGTGTTAAAGATAGCATTGAATGTCAATTTAAACCTTAATTAACGGAACTTCATTACAAACTCACTCTTATTAAAACTGGTCGTTTGGACAAATAACGTAGACAGAGAAACCTATAAACTAATTGACGGCTTCTTTCGCATTCGCACACGAAAAAGATAGATTTATGCATACGTCTTGCATAGAAATGAGACAGAGCAGTGTCATTGTTTGTCCCTTTCTCCGTGCCGGAGAGAGAGTTTTTTGTTTAGCAAACTACACTTTTGCTAAACAACTTTAACAGTTCGTAACGATCTAAGGAGTTTACAAGTTGGTTTAAGTGAGAAAAAAGTGTTGTGAGCTTAAGTTCGTGGATTGGTGAAACTTGTTCAGTTCAGTTCTTAAAACAATTAAATTTTTTGTCTAAATATGTTTAAAAGTCATATAAAGATTATTGTATAACCTAAAAGTACGTTATCGTCCTTTCTCACTTGAGGCCACGCTAATCATTAGTCTATAGGTTTCTCTGTCTACGACAAATAAGCACTCGTGCGACGTCTGTCAAAATTGCTGACACGATGCATAGAAAAAACTTGAAAAGCTTAACTGATATAGGATGAATGTCCACAGCTATATGTAGTTGTACAACAAATTAAGACGGTTGAATTTTGAGGGTTTTCTTATGAAAAGCCTTCCAACTGAACTTTATGACTACATCAGTAAACTATATGTTGAGTTACAGGTTGATTACCTTTTGATTGGTGCACCCGACATATTTTTCTAGAATATCTCCTAGTGACTTTTATCCTTTTATCAATTTTAAAAAGAATTTACGTGGTATGAAATTAGGCGGAGATGATGAAGTCATGTGTACTGTAGAGACCTTTTTTAATACCCATTATCAAGCTGTTTTTTTTTCAAGGGAAATGAGCAACCTTCAAAACATTATTTTAGACATTTTAGATAGATGGATAGATTATTTAAGGTTAGATTAGAAGGTGAGGGACCCTTAAAAAAATTAGCAACATTTTTCCAAAACTTTCATTGCGTTTCCATAAACTTATAGATCAAAAACCTATATACAGGTATATAGTATAAACATAATTATAATGATGTGTAAATAGTATTTATAATGTTTGATGTATTTTTTTTCCCTATAATTTATATATTTTTCTATCACATTAATAATTTAATTTAATCTATACACAATGTTTTGAAGGATCCATTCATTGAATTCAACTCATTTGTCTTCGGTTTTTTCTTTAAATCTGCTTTCCACATGTTTTCGTTTAGGAACATATCTCTGAAATAAAAATGAAAACTACATGAACAACCTACAAGCTCTTTTTCTCTGCAAAGTTTTTATATTAATTTATTCAAGTAAATGACACAAAAAAGGTTAACGCTAAAAACATACATATATCCGCAGTTTGTTTAAAATAATGACCATCTGATGGTCAATATAATATCTTCTAGCATTCACATCAATTTAACTCAATGGATAGCATGGCTCCCTTTCCGATTAGGAACACGTGTATGTTAGGAGGTAACTTTTTACGTTTTATTTTATACAAATTAATGACAAACAAGCGCACGGACCTCCTGATGGATATAGGTGGATGCTGTGGTCACACTTACATTTCTATTCTTGATTAATGGATAAAAATACTAGTATAACTACAAATTACATGCTGTAAGGCATTTTATTGTAGTCCTCAGGAATCACAACACGGCAAGCCACAACAACGATCTTGTTTGCTTGAAGTTATGGGATGCAAATTGCAATAGGATCTTAACATCAAATGGACTGCTAGCAAATTTTGTCAAACTAACTGATGTTTCTCCAGAGCTACATGAATTATTGCTTGGGAAACTATTCTAGTGCTGTTATAATTATCATCTTCAATCTTCAAAAAAAAAAACAAATAGTGTTGGTTGATTTGTGGCTTTCCTCAATAACTGGTGTGCCCTCCTCGTTTTCTAATGCACTCTTGAAGCCTGGAAGGTACACTTTCCACCAGGTGTACCACTGTATCTTGAGGAATTTGTTCCCAGCTTGATTTCAGAATGTTTATTAGTTGTCTTTCATTGTGCACGGGTTGGTTTGTGCTTCGAACACTGCGTTTCAGTAAATCCCACAAGTGTTCGATAGGATTGAGATCCGGACTATTTGCAGGCCAGGGCAGTACCTGTATACCAGCCTCCTCTAGGGCTTCTCTGGTGGCCCTAGCTGTATGAGCGCTAGCATTATAGTGTATCAGATGGATATAGCATTATAGTGCATCAGATGGAATCTTGCTCCGATTTTCTGTGCATATGAGACCACATGGGGTTTAATGACCTCCTCGATATAACGTTGAGCTGTAATTGTGCCTTCGTTGAGAATTACCAACTCGGTTCTACCTGATGTAGAGATTCCTCCCCACACCATAACATTGGGGCCCCCAAATCTGTCACTTTCATGGATACAAGCATCCGAAAATCGCTCACCTTCACGCCTCCAAACCCTAATGCGACGGTCATCACTAAAAAAATTATCTTTTCACTCATCCGTAAACAGTACTGTGCTCCAATCACTCATATCCCATGCCAGATGCTGCCTTGAACGATAATCGGTTTGCACGATGGGCACTTGTCAATGGTATCTGCACTACGCGTCTCCTGGAGAACTGCTGGTCCTCGTGTAACCGATTTCTAATGGTTTGATCACTGACGCGTGTACCCGTCGCCTGCCGCAAACGGTTAGTTGCCCTCCTACAAGGAGCGGGCAGTGATGCAGCGTTATCTGCGCGCAGTCAAGCGCACGTAGCGATCCTCCTGTGCGGTAGTTGCTCGATTTCTGCCAGATCCCCGTCTCCTGGTTAGTCTTCCAGTCTTTTGAAATCGATTCCAAGCATTTTGGATCGCTCGCCGAGATAAACCCAGCTGCAACGCCACAGAACGCTGCGAATGGCCTTCTTGAAGCAATGTTACGGCCCTCGTTACAGTTAGTAAGTCCATATGTCGTCGAATTCTCGGCATAACTTTTTAAAATGTTAATTCAGCCACTAGTTAAACAAAACTTAAACCGTTATTGACAGAATCGTCACTTTAACTGAGTTAAAATTTGTCTTAATATCGGGTAGATTCAAGTGGTTACAATAAATTATCAAAAACTACCCACTTTAAACAATTATGAACCTGGAATACTCAAAAAATGTTTGTAAACAAATAAGGTAGCACCACAATAAACAATCAGCTACTTGAGAACGCATAAAATATGAATTCTCGCTACCGACGTAAAAAATAACAAACGGCCCTTACAAACTGGAAATATAATTTTTTCTCAGCCCAGACAGTGATTCAAGGTAGCATCGCGGTGTACAATTTCTTATATAATTTTATAACACTGAAAGTGTTTTTGAATTTAATTTGGGAAATTTAATACCTTTGCGCTTGAATTATGCTGACCCAGTCTTTTTGCTGTTTCTTCATACTAGGTGCTTCACCTCCATACTCAATTGGTAAATATTTTTTATCTATCCATTGATGTAGACTCTCGCAGTCCGGTAAAAATTTTATCTGTAATAACAAAAACGTAGCTTTCATTATTTTTTAGTTCTTACGAAGTTCATTTCAAAAGAAATTAGACCGAAATAAATTATAATAATTTAATTTCTAATTTCTAATTTATTTTTGATTTTTACATGCATATACTACACGAAGTTAACACGTACAATATGGCACGAATTGCAGAAAAACTAATTGTAGTAGTCGACTGCCGCTATGTTTCGAGATTATATTTATGTGAACATTTATGTAAACATATATTTCTCGTCGGCATCGAATTTATCTTTCACAAAATTGGCGTCAATCCACCGGATGGTCTTTCTTTTCACCTATAAACTTGTGTTACATCATCTCGAACAATGATTAAGGACAGTGAAGTTGTTCGTCAATGATGATTGAAATTGCTACTGATTTAATTTCCAATCCACGCTAAAGCTCTTATATAAAAGTAAAGTAAAGTTACAGCCTATATACGCCCCACTGTTGGGCACAGGCCTCCGCTCATTTCTGAGAGGGTTTTAGGGCAAGGAAGTGTCCGCCGCGCTGCCCCAATGCGTGTTGGCGAACTTCGCATGTCTTCGAAACATTCTTATTCTTATTTCTCTAACATGCAGGTTTCCTCACGATATTTTCCTTCACCGCCGAGCACATGGTAAATCAGTTATTAAAATAGCAATTAACAATTTCATTGGTGCCGACGGGGATTGAACCCGATTTGCTCGCGTACTGTGAAATTTACAGCGAGCGCTAACCATCTGAGCTACCACGGCTCTTATATATATATATATATATATGTAAATCGCTGAGTGTCTCGAATAAGTATTTGACTTTAAGAACATTTTCAGTGATCGCGGTTGGAGGCAAGCCTGTTTTCTCTTCATCTTTCTAGTCCGCTTTGGAATTCAACAAATCAATTAGAACTGTTGCGCGTGAATGAGCAAACACTCAAAGTAGTAGCACAGAATAAATAATAGTAGGGTAGACTGGGTACGGTTGAAACATTTTAGCGTTTATTGTCAATTGCATCGGGATTAGTTAAGCGAGCGATGAACGAAATATATTAAATAAAAGACCATATATCTGTTTACTAATAGGCAATATTATTTGAGATCACTGTATTATATTTTATATGTAAAATCACATTTTTAAAAAAAAGTGTAATCTTTTTCAACCGTCCCCATACCAGGGTCGGTTGAAACAGTGCCTGGGGTCAATAGAAACATGCAAATAATACAAAATATAATAAATGAACATGTTTTATTAATCGTCTAATAACATTTTACGACTCGTAATGGCACAGTTGAACATCACAAATATTTTTTATTAATATTCAAGTCAAGCATTATATATATTTTGGGATTCAAATTTATAACGGTCCATGATAGTAGCCAAATTGTCATAGAAAGCATCTACGTTATTTCTTTTTAAGCTAGTCGTCCTAGAAAGACATGTAGTCTGTGCTGCACGCACTGACAGCTCCGGATTTCTTCTCATAAACATGCGAAACCAGGTCGTGATAAGTTGTACTTGACGGTTAGCTTCATTTCATAACATCATTTTTAGTTAGGCCAAAATGTATGTCCGCATATCTAATCAATATTTAGATAGCTCACGCTCTTGTTCCTGCTTAAACATTCGATTGTGAGCCTCATAATCCATTTCTTGATTTTCATCATCACCAGTCACATCTCGTTTACGTACATACCTCAACAGGGAACAGTTGTTCAGTCCATTCTTTTCTGCCGCTTTACCTAATGAAGATATGGCTTTTACATCTTCATAGGCTTGTTTATACTTCGATAAGTCGGCCTGACCTTTCGTAGTTCTTTTGGCGTACCCTTCGAATCTAAGATACAAGAAAATTAAATAAATAAACTGTTTCAACTGTACCCACAAAAAACGTTTCAACTGTCCCCAACCCCCTTCTTGGTAGAAAACGGTTCATAGTAAGAATGACAACAAATTTGAATAAAAACTAATCGTACAGCCATATTCTACAAACTTTAATTTAAACGATACAAAATACTCAATATTCTTACATTAATAAAACCATAATAATTGCAAAAATTTACGAACAAAAAATACTTACTTTTACGTCAAAAAATTCAATGAGGCCTCCTTTAAACACAGCGCGCGATATTGTCTAAATAATAAGTCTCTATCTGTTTCTAAAATTATCGATTCTACTATCGTGATATAACTCGCCAGTGATACAAAAAAGAGTAAAGTATCGTATCATCTTTTGGAATGCCTCTTTTCCCTATACCTATAATAAAAATCGAAGCAAGACAATCGTTGTATGTGTAGAATACTGTATCTAAATATCATTTTATACCCCAGATATTTAAGCCAATACACCTTCGGCTGTCAAGTGATGTATATGTCGTAGCCAACTGGCTTAATTAGCCTTTCAGTTACAGCCTAGCCTTTTTAATGAAGAGCGCCGTTTAGCGGACTGAATGATATTTAGTTGATGTGTCTAATACAAAGTCAACTATCTTGTAATATCAGTGACAGTAGGTTAAGGTGAAGTAGGCGCCAAAAGCAGATTTTTTCATGTTTTATGGGTGCGCAGAAAATCAATTTTTTGTCATTAATAACTACGAATTCACATTTTTTAAAATTCATTATGAAAGTTAAAGATTTTTCTTAGTGAATTATGGTGGCCAAGACACGATTGACACATTTTGGCTCGATAATACATTATAAAAAACATTACGATATATCGATATTTATCACGTGAATATATTGATACTTTTTAAAAATATCGACACGATATATATCGATATAGTTTTTCACTTGCCCATCCCTACTCGTCACTATTGCCACATGAGTAGATAAACGTAATATTGCTAGCAGCTAGCCGGACACGTGACGGGGCCTCACGCGCCGATCGCCCGCCCGCTCTTCTTCACCCCCTTAAAACCAACGTGAACACGATACCATTTCGTTTTAAGGTGCGGTTGGAATGGCCTTTGGCATAGTAAAAATACTATGCCTTTGAGGTTTGAGCCACCCTTAACCTGTGTATATAGGATATGTCTAGAAATATGATGATAAACCTACCCACTTACACCAAAAGTAAAAACAGTGTATTTGTACTGCCGCAGCAGCGTCAAAGTAATGTGCAGGAGAAACACACGAGGTGGTGTTTTCTATTGAATTCCTTTAATGTAATTTAAGCTGTACTAGCAACTACGTTTTTTTGGCGACATGTTCGAACTTGTAAGACGACCTGAATTTCGATAATTCACACAATACCTATGCGAGCCTACAGGTAATTTTCACCCAGCACAATTATAATCATTCTTATTGAATTTAGTCATGCATGTGTAGGTATTTACTTTTATCATGTTATCATAGAATAAATAATAGTACTACGTACAGAAGTTGCACTCCTTTGATGTTGACTGCTTGCCGACGTTCAATAGCCTAAATAATAATAAATAATTAGGTAAATCGAACACGCAAGTTTTAAATAAAACTAGCTAGGCATCTTTTCCCCTTCCTTCGTTACGGCGGACTTTCCGTGGTTATTTAGGGATGTCAATAAAGAGTAAGAAAATACATCGCGAAATGTTAATTAAGTCACTTAGGTGAAGTACCTATTCCGACTATGACTGTATGACTATCGCCTGACCATATTTTCGCACCTATGTGAGTTCATCGATGCCCAATGAATGCAAATCCATTCGTCCGGAAAGCCGGAAACGCGATGCTTGGCTCTTGAGAAATGGGTAGATAGTGTAAACATCAAATAAACTTGAAATATGATTCCTAACAGAAATGTGATCGTATTTTCCTTAGTTAAAAATCTTCTTAGTAAATAAAGTTTTAATTTCAGTGTATGTGTTATTATAACTTAACGTATTTTAATTACAAAAGACAAGTACAGGTATGTAAGTAGATACTTGGATAGTGAAGTAAATTTCAACTAAGTTTTGTAATAAAGTACGTATTATATATAGGTATTACTTCTGTAAATAAATTATTACTTAATTATTTTACGCTATAAGTACCTATCTAACAAAAAAAAAATTAAATAAATTCACGTCTCATAATTTCCTATTAAAATCCTTAGGTAACTTAAAGAATGATATATCTGAAACCTTTTGTTGGTCACTTAGCATCCATCTATGCAACAATTATGCTAGGAACGACATTTTGCGATTACAATTTATCAAATAGGTAATATTATACATTATATATATATATATATATATATATATATATATATATATATATATATATATATATGTAATTTTTAAATTACATTTAAACTTTTTTAACTGTTTTATCGTACAATTAAATGTAGGTACTAAACACTAAACAAAAACGATTTCAACAAGTATACAAAAAACTATTTACGTAAACAGCGTTAAAAACCTTTGACTCAATCGCCTACAACGCGCTAGCCCCGACTACGTATGTTGGATCTCTCTCTGGGTGACTCGCGATTGTAGATACAGTAGGCGCTCGATAATCCGGCGCTCGCCAATCCGGCACGCTCAGTATTTCGGCACTTTGGGACTCAGGTAGCCCGCTCTATAATCCGGCATTTTACATAGCTGAACGCCGGACTACTGAGCGATTGGGTTGAATTGTTCGAGTAGTATCTCTCTTCTCTAGCTCGGCAGTCCGGGTCTAACCTTAATAGTGAAGCCACGTGTTTGTTTTGCTTTTTCTTGTTCGCAGCTCTAGGATCTATTTTATTTCCTATACAAATTCGATAATCCGGCAGTTCTGACAATCCGGCATAAAGGGAAAAAATCGGGTGCCGGATTATCGAGCGCCTACTGTGATTATTTCACGCAGGTAGCAAGAGTGACAGAGGGCTGATGTTATTAAGTTTTAAATAAACATTTAACTGAACTGAACTGAATCAGAAGCTCAAAAGCTAAGCACAAGTCGTAAATTTCATAAATCACTGTGAGCAATTCATGGTAAGAGATGCAGGTGGCTTACGACCACAGATATCTGAACTAAATCCGTGCTTATGACCGTACTCCGTGGCAATTTTAAGGGAAGACCTATGTTCAGTAGTGGAATTGTGAGGGGCTGTAATGATGATGATAACCATGATGATGATGATGATGATGACGACAACGAAAAAATGAATGCTGGCTTGTTCTTAGAAGAGAATATTATAGACTATTAAAATTCTTACCATATTACAAATATCTGTAGGCAAAGCAGGTTTGACCAGTGCATATAGCTTATCATAAAAATAGGGCGTATTTATTACGTAAATTTGTTTGACACGTACAGGCATTCCTTCCTGAAATAAAAGATTAAATGTATATAAATAAAAAAGAGTAAGTAAATGTAATAATGACCTGGCAATATTGCTGATTAGAACTTTCTTCATTTGATATGTAAGTAATAAATAAAATGCCCAGGCATAAAATAAATACTAACTTGTATAAATAACACATATCTAACTTGTACGTGGCCAATACGCAACTAACATCGATATTTAGGAATGGAGATTGTGCGTTGTCAGTCTTGAGTGCCGTAATTGCCAAGAAGTGGGAACTAAATTCAACTTCAGTCTCTCGAATACACAGTAGTGTATTACTTACACTTATTAACGGAGGCTAACTTAAGTATATTTACTGTCTGAAAAAGTTAGTGTCTGAAAACCGGACAGTGAAAGTGTTAATGCTTACGAACGAAAGTTACTTCATCATCAAGACAATTTAATGAAGATAAAATTTGCTTTTTATAGCATGTTATTTGGATGCATAGTTTGGGATGATTATTTTATAATGATAAATTGAAAGAATACATTTCACGTTGCCTTGCTATTTTGAAAATTCATTGATTCGGCCTTAAGTGAGTAATTAATAATATTATCTATGGTAATGAAGACGAAAGTTTAAAATATGAAAACGTTACGTGTAGGTCTCTCCATACTTTTTTCTATACATTTACTCGAAAACCTTTCTATGATAACCAGTTCTACTAAAGCCTTATTGCTACTTCTGGATCAGCAGGGTAATGCGGATATATTAGTGATGATATTTATATGATATATGGTATGGGTAGACTTTTACTCGAAAAACTTTCTCCCCCCATGATTACTAATTATACTAAAGCCTTAGTGCTACTTCAGGATAAGCAGGGTTACGGCAGTTGATCAGTAATGCTATAATATGACACATTTTCTTACCAATAGATATAGTAGAAAGTCTCTGAAAAAGAAAACGTTAACCTTTGGAACTATACGCAACGAGTAATTCTGTATATCTAAAACTATAATATGACCCTCAGGTAGAAATTTTTGAGTCTTGATCCATACATCAGCCTGTAGCGTGAAACTTTTCAAAACATCGTAGAATTGAAATCTTTCGAGAGTCGGGTCTTCAAGTTGGTGGATTAGGATTTCATGATCGCCTGCCTCGTAAGTTGTTACGTTTCTGAGGAAGTAAATGAACCTAATTAATTAAGAAGAAAAAAAAACTACGATAATTTCGATATTAGTCATTTTATTTCAATCCCCGTTAGTGGGCTGAAGATCAGTCCTCCCGTCCGATCCCGAGGGCCGTCAGAGGCTACTTAGGGAAGCGTACAAGCTTTAAAACGAAACATTTACAAACGTAGTTGTTTTTCATGTCAGCCCATGACAGCCTATTATAAGCTGAATATAAGTTAATAGGGATCAGACATTTTTCCATTTTTGAAGGGCGGATTGACATCCACAGTTTTTTATTAATTTTAAACGTTTCAATAAGGAAGTTGCTGTTGACCATCTCCTGTTTAATTTGCCTGTGTCGTCTCTTAAAACATCAACATATCCTATAAAAAAGTTATGCTTAGAACCTAAATAATAATTTTGAATAAACATGGCTCTAAGGACATAAAAATATCATTCATACAATAATTTATTAATTATGTGTGAGAATGTATATGTTGCGTCTACTTCACACAAGTTTAGACTGCGCCCTCTTTTCCCAAAAGAGGGTCGCTCACGATAAGGCACAATAAAGCTTAATCAGCCAGTTGCCTGTCCCTAAAGGCGGTTTTTTAGAGGGGATCACTTAGGTTCCCCGGTAGGATGTGAGTCCCTCATAACCACGATAGACCGGCTATCGTGGTATGCGTAATGCATTTTCCGCCTCCCTACGTATAGAGTAGCCCTTTAATTGCTTCGGGCGCAAAAAAAAAACAAGTTTAGTTCTTACTAAACCTTTCGACTAGTGCGACCCTTAGCTCTGTTGCACCAGCCGTAATTTAGGTACGACATGACATGTAATATTCCTAATGAACCTTCTACTATCTACATAGATTAGTTAATGCTTACCTTATGGAGTATAGAGGTAAGGAGGACAATCTCCCATAGGAGAATAGTTGAAAATGTGTCCATCTGTAAGCAGTAAATAACAGTCTAAAAACTCTCCAAAGCAGCGCTTGAGTAGCGACAGGGTATGATAAATCGCCGTAAAATACGTTGAGAGTAAATTTGAAAAACAAAATTTTGAAAGCAATAAAATAATTATTGTAAAAAGAATTATGGTGAAAGTCTGTGCAATAAAAAAATTATAAAAAGTTCTTTAAAATTTAGACTGTAGCTACAGTGGCGCCACTCTTATTTAGCGCTTTCCTACGGACACTTATACGTGTCCTTTTTATAAATACTGAAACCATAAAAATATTCAATTTAAATAAATTGTCAGATTAGTCTTTTTAATGACCAACTTCCATGTTAAATTGTTTAAATTAACCTTACAACAACTGTTACAAACTTAATGTAATAAGATAGGGAAAAAACTTCGGAAAAACAACAACTGTAATAAGATAGGGAAAGAAAGAACGAAAACGTAACACGAGCGCTTGAAAACGGGAAGGAAATTTGAAGCCCAAAGAATAAACGTCCGTGTGATGGGGGTGTAGCTCTGGGTCGAATTTGGGCCTACCCCGTCCGATGGTTAAAACCATTTTCAAGCCACTGGAATCGAAATGAACTTTATTCGTGTTCCATTACTTATTTGTTTACAAAGTGCACACTGTAGGATCTTAACGTCTTAAGTCTCAACGACATCGCTGTTTCGGAATCATATTATATGAACATTTTGATTATTTAACTCATGGAATACAAAATACAACCATTATGTCGGTATTATGTCTATGTCGTGTACAAAGTAACTGTCAATATTTGTACATAACAGTAGGTAATTATCACTTAGTTACCTTAAAATATTACAAACATCAATGGCAAATACACCACTCACCTTCGAATTGCTGACGATTTAGTCATTTTAGTTAAATCGTTCGAAGAACTTTAGATGTGCAATAATCTGAGTTATTCATGAACATGCACAAAACGAAGAACTTGTCCAACGTCTATGTCACATTTATGTTTAATATTTGTGGTTATGACTTGGACAAGTAACGAAAAGACGAAGGAGTTACAAGTAACAAACTTTTTTTCACGGGAAAACTCCCAAGGACTAGTTATATCGCCCTCGAACTGACTAAAACTCCATGGTATTCAACCTTAGATGCATATCGCCAAGACACTTTCGCCCACATTCCGCAGGTAGATCTATTGGCGAATATGATCACTAGCCGCCCCTAGACGGAAGAAGGCAAAAACTTCCCTATTTCTGCTAGCAAGGCGTGCCTTCGTCTCCATCTGCACATTAGACTATCCGGAGTCAGTAACGCGGAGGTTATGCGGATCGGCAAAATGGAAATTTGAAGCCTCATTTTATTAGACTTTCTATTACCGTTGTTGTTCAGTTCATGGTGGGTGACAAAGCCTTGGGTAAGTTTACGCTGGTAAATATTTATGACATTCGGTATTTATAAGTAATAAAGAAGAATAATTACGTAATGGAGAATGCAGTCTTGATATTTTCCGATATGGGGTCTCTCGACGTGTAAACCTCTGACATAACACTACGCGTGGTGCAGAACTTTTCTATGCATTTCTTTGTACGTTCCAAGCTACCATAGCAGCTATGAAGGAATTTCTCCAGCAAGAAATCATCTAGAAAAAAAAAGAAAATCATACACCATAATGTAATACAATAAAAATAAGGGTCAGGAAGGATTTTGGCTATGTATGTTCTATTAAAGCGACGTTATTTTGATTTAAGATAAGATAAAAAATATTTTTAACAATAATTCTCAAGTTATTCTGATAAAATATAGGCTAGATTGAGATAGATAGATTGCAATCGGTTTAGTCATTTCGAAGGTCCAGGTCACACAAAGAGATAGACAAACAAATTTTTAAAGTGGTTATTCAGGTCTTAATGGCATGCAAATAACCCCCTCCGCTGAGTATAAGACTGAAATATCAGTATTAAATAAAGACACTTCAATTATTTTTATACGTATATAGATGTACGCATACCTAGATAAAAATATCTGAAACACTAAGATTCTTCAACTCTTTTTAGTGCTTTATTTTTAAAACATCCCGATGTGTAATTAAAAAAAACCTCCTGATGTATAAAGGTCGTTTTGTATTGTAAAATAAATGAAAGTACATAACTTATTTTAACTTAAACAAGCACAAATCCATAGTAGGAGAAAATATTGCAAGGTAAGCGAAACTAAACTTCTTATGTCCTCCAGAACGAATGCGGTCACGGCGGCCATGTTTTATTTTATATAGAAAAAAGAATAAGGGTGACAAACGAGCACACAGTTCACCTGATGGTAAGTGAATGCTGTCGTACATAAAAATCTAGTGATCTACATGTGTTTTCGATTAAGAATCAAAAAGCAGATGCGTTGTCACCCCTGAAAACTCAGATGGAATGCCTCGTTTCCAGTGAAAAGGGTCTCCGGTTCTCATCATACGAAACACAACACCATTATGCTGTTATTCCACGCTGATATTCAGTGAGAGAGTCCTTCCCCGGTCGAGGCGACCCATTCGTGCTACAACCACAATATAACTGAAGGCTGATGCATGACTCTACCAAGTATAAAACAGTCTTAACGGAAGTTTCCATCTGCAGGATAAGATATTAGTTTGTGCGCAAGCACACACAGAACAACGGCTTTCGTGCTATCCAAGGCACGGGAGTGAAACAGCCAACTTCCTGTTCCGGGCTCTTACTGAAAATTTCTTAACAGAAAAACCCCATAACTGATTTGAAATTGGAACCCGGGACTTCACTATTCAGAAAAAAGACGCGGAAAACTGCGAGCTGCAGTGCTATTCACCAAGGCAATGCTCCAGCTCGAAAAGCCGCAGCTTCGGTGATTGCCATTCAAGAAACGGGATTTAAACTACTCAAACAGCCGCCTTTTTTACGAAAGAACCTACAAGGCAAGAAATTTGCCAGACGATAGCGATGCGATGGACGCTGTTAAGGCTTATTTGCAGGGTCAAGATAAATATTTTTTTTTTCTAAGGGAATTCTGGGTTTTGAAAAATGATGGACTAAATCTATTGACTTCTTAGGAGACTGTAGGAAAAATATATATTTTTTAACTATGTTCAGTACTTAATATTCATTATCATTACTTTTGGATCTTTTATTATTAACTTTATTAGAATCATGTGGAAATTATTTTATTATTTTTAGTTCTTTGAAGTAAGCTTTCACTTTTTATCTAGAGTCTAATTTTATGACTCTTTTGAGCAGACTAAGAAATATTACATTAAGGATTTTTTTCTTTAAATTTATAACCACTCTTGAAGATTTAATTTAAAAAAATAATTATTTAAACCGATTAAAAAGTTTCCGGGAAATCAGTGAACATATATAAAAAAAAATACATACGTTTCGCAACAGAGTCTTCTCGTTTTCTTGGATTTGGTTAAAAAACATACCGTCGAATTAAGTACCTGATCATTTTTTAAAGTCGGCTATAAATTAAACATAAGTAATTGTTATGAAATAACATGTACAATTAAACGTAAACACTATAAAAAATATATCCGTCCAAAAAAAGTTAATGTTGTCTAAAGTTTAATAGGTATGTGACAATGATTAAATAGAATACAATAAACAACAAAATGTGAGGTTTGACTCTGAACTAATCGGTTTAAACACATGAATTCAAAATTATGATGACATTTTTTTAAAGTTTTTTTATACATAATATAACCTGAAAACTTTGCTACAGCCTATATACCTTCCAATAAGTTTTTAGGTTATATGTAGCTAATTAGATTGTAGTAAGTACGTGTTGGCAGACTTCACATATCCACAAAACCTTTTCTAGACATGGAAGTCTACTCACGATGTTTCCTTTACCACCAACACGTAAATCAACACTTAAAATTGCAATTAAAACTTTCAATGGTGCCGTGTCGGTAGGAACCGAACTAGGCTAGCCCGAGGAATTTACGACTTGTACCAACTACCAAGCCCCTTGAGCAATGGATCATGAAGCCTTACTATATTACTAAACTATTATTATCATATAAATACATATGATAAAGTTCCTAAATGAACTTTATCTGCGATAAGAGGACAGGGCATTATATCACGGGGGAGTAGGACCGTATTTTAATTAAAGTTTTTGCTTTTAGTTTTTTTTTTAATGTGGCAATAAATATAAATGGTATTGTTTATTTATTTTCATATTAATACGAGATGGTCTCGTATTAATCTTTGACATAAAAATAATTATTATGAAGTAAAAATCGCGGACTTTTCTCACCGTCCAGACCAAAGATCACGTCAAACACGCATTATATACATATTGTTTTGTAATATATTATTACAGTATGTTATATGTCTTTATAAATAGTATATATGTTATTATAAATGTTGCTTAAATGACGGACCGGAGTTCTGCAGTTTTAAATATTTTATTGGTAAGATAACGTCTCATTACCCATTATTACGTTTTAAAGTTGAAAGACTTGGCATGAATACATACATGTCTATTAATTATGATGTTGTTTGATCATTAGTGGCTTAGAGTATACACAAGTATCTACATACTTATGTAAAGGTACTCTAAGATTAGTGGGGTCGAATAGGTCTTTAGCGCAAAATCAAGAGATTTAATGACTAGTTATTTCCATTGGGTCGACATAAACAGAACAAATGAGATATTGCGGTGATGGAGCTGCATAACTTAAATTTATTAGGCAAAATAATTTTCCACAATATTTTTTTAACAGAACAATGGTGATAAGCGAGCACACAGTTCACCTAATGGTACCTGGATATATATAGATAGCCTCGTATCCAGTAAAAAGGGTCTCAGGTTCTCTACACTCACCCTACGAAACACAGGAACAGCTAATCAACTTTAGCGTGCGTGTGGTGTGTTGAAGCATTTAACATTTAAAGCAAAGCGTATTCACTATAGTAACTCCTTTATTAATTCATGTAGTTCCTGTATACACTCTCCGGAAAGTCTCCTATAGAACAGAGAGACTGGCTACTCTGCGATAGTGCGAGGTTGACATAATTGATTTCAATCAAGGTTTCCAATAAGGCTTTTTGCATCGCTCTGCTGAGTCCAACGCTAGCAGTGTAGATTTTGAAGCAACAGTTCATTTCATATTCGTTATGTGTTTCGATTTGCCGTTTTTTACCTAATTTACAAAGGTAAACCGTATAGAGGTAAGGGTCATGAAAGTGTCATGATTTAAGAGTGGCGATTGTGCAAAATATAATTAAAAAATTGACTGTTGTATATAATAAAGATAATTTTGATCCTGAAGATTAAAAAAATATTTTATTTATTTAAAACTGGTGGACTTTCTCACTCGTGTGCATTTTAGTAACCAGTTATTTAATAACAGCGGTTGTCAAACGAGGCAACAATGGCAAATATTCTCCTTTGAAGGAATCTAAGGCTGTAATGGACAGGATTTGAACCCAAGTTACTCGCGATTAGTGAAATTCTCGCGCGGTCACTTATGCTCACCACTGAACCACCACGGCTCCTTTATATCAATCATGATGATATTGTTAAGACACCCTTTTGTTGAACGAGAATTTTCCCGATGATAAGGGTAAATGGTCTCTGTCAAGTAACAAAATAGAGAATAAACATAAAAATAGATAACGCTCAAACTATTGATGAAACCAAGACGTAACTAATGTTAATGTTTTCGTATATAGAGTTTTTACTCCTTTGGACTTAGTGTTATCGTTATACATTATCAGTCGTACATTATAACTACATTATTAACTAAAAAATAAATAGAAAAGTAAAATGAAAATAAACATTTTTCTTTTTTATAAAATATTACAATTACATACAAAAACTTCATAAACAAATTAATAAACACAAATTAAAACCAAGACATTTGTCAGAATAATATATTTTCATGTCAAGGTTGTCGATTGCTAAAGCACTAATTTATTTATTATGCTAAGGTAAGCCACGCTAGACTTTATAAGGCGGACTCATATTGCCTGAGCTCGTACGGTTACACAAGATAAGATTCGCACCAAACGAAGCAATGTGAAGTACTCAAAGCGAGCATACCAAGACCAAGTCCGATTCCGGCAGTTCCGATTAGATCGTTGTTTGAGAATGTAAGTTCGAATTTACCACGTGATCGGCGGCGAAGGAAAAAAGTGTAAGATTTAAAAAAACAGCTAATACGCACAGCCATGCATGTGCGCAAAAGATACCCTCGTACTAGTAATACTCTAAACTAAACAAACCAACAACAAAATACCCAACTCCTATCAACGAAGTACATTATTACTTACTCGTACTACCCCTAAGCGTTTAATCAAAAAACAGAATCGAGGAAATGTTTCAAAGTAGCAAAATTGAAAATAACATGTCAAAGCTTTGGAATTTTATGATTTGCATTATTATAATTTATTACAATATAATTATAAATTGTACATTTCTTTCAAAATAGAAATCACGTTGTGTTTCTTCCTAGTATTCCCAGGACAGAGGTAACATTTTTCAGAATCAGCATATTCATAAACTAAACTTAAAAATTACTATAAATAAATATTGAGTTTGGAAAACTGACATTATTTACAATATGTTATTCTTAAATTGTATTATACAAATGATTGTAATGTATTGTCATTTAAATTAATTATTATGTATTGTTATTTAAATTAATTATTGTGTTGTAATTAGTAATCTTTTACCATTTGAATTTTTACTTTTTGATTTGAGATGCTATATTTATCGATTTAGGTTTTCCCTGTAATGGTAGATGTTAGTAGGAAATATAAATAAATTAATAATAAATAAATAAATACATAATCTTGAAAAAAACATTCTTCTATTCCTAAAACGATGAATCACAAGGCATGCGTGAACCTGACCGTGACGACGGTAATTATCCAACATGCTCACAACCGCGAAAGGATTTCAAACAACAACATATACGCAAACACAGCATCACTCGTCCTGATTCTTGTTTTTATTAGGTGAGTCTTATACCTACACTATAATACTTAGTGCAGTGGCATGCAGTTACACCGAAGTTGAATAAAAACACCGAACAGGTTTAAAATCTAAACCGTGTATTTGTAATTAAGTTCTCTGACGTAATCGTAAGTCTCGTACTTGATAATACTCACTGTGGTATATCGTATAGTGACCGTGTAGTGGCAGTGTAAGAATATCCACTCTCCTACATCGTTTTTGGGTCTTGCCTTGTACAAGGCGAGTTAGAGTTAGTTATAAACAGTTAGTTATAAACACAGTTATAAATAAACAAGAAGATGGGCAAAAGCGTCTACCAAATAACAACTAAAAAATAAAAAACTGAAGAAACATTAATGTAACTTACCAAGATCATTTGGCAGGTATGATTCTTTATCAAGCCATTCTTTTATAGATATTATATCTTGTGTGTTGTATTGAGACATCTGTAGAACATAGAGTAAATTAATTTTAAATCATTAGTTGCGCATACATTATGTGTCTAATACAGATTCGTGTGTCTTAAAAAGGAGATTTGCTGTGTGTCGCTGTAAATTACATTTCTCTTGTTTTCTGAGTGATTTAAAAAGAAAATATGGGAGGAAATTTTATATCGTTAAATGATACCAAAAAAAATATTACTGTAGTAGCAGCGGATTGCGGTTGTTTATAGATAACAAGCGTTATGTTAAATTGAATTATTAAATTATTTAACTGCCTCGTTGGTCTAGTGGTTGTAGTAGTGCTATTGCTGATCATGAGGTCCTGCATTCGAATCCCGGGTCGGAAAAAAAATCAATTATTGAATTCTCAGTAGCTGCCCGGAGTCAGGAAGTTGGCGGTGTCTCACCCCCTGCCTCGAAAAGCACGTAAAGCCGTTGGTCCTGCGCCTGATCTCTCTCCGGCCGTGTCGGTTTACCTTCCCATCGGATTATGAGAGTGAGTGAATAGAGAGTGCACTTGTGCTTGCGCATACACTTGGGCACTATAATCCTGTCCTGCGCCGATGGCTAGCCTCCGTTGAGGCAGGCCACCGTGACGCCGTCGGTAATTTCGGTCAGAGCCGCGCTATAAAAAAATTACTAGTGATCCGCCCCGGATTTCTACGGGTGATTTCTGGATCTCGACATCAGCGCCACCTACCGGGTCTATATCTGAATAAAAACCATCTAGAGACCCATTCAAATATAAAAAAATTCATGAATATCGGTTGGATGGTTTTAAAGTCTATAACGGACATATGTAGAAACTTTTTTGTGTTTTATATATTGGATGATTATTTTACAATCTGGAAAAAATAGGGTGTAGCAGGCTAGCAGGTGAACGGAATAAAAGCCTATGGCACTGATATTTTACAATTTTTATTTTATTTTACGTTAACATATTACAAAATTGATCTATCAATAAATACTCACAATTGGGTACGTATTATTTTAATTACCCAAATGACCGAGCTTTGTTCGTTTTTTTTTTTTGAAATTACATTTAGATACAAATTACATACCTACTGATGAATAATATTTTTTGATCTTATTGACATAATAGAAAAAACTGAACTGGTTATTTGAATAAAAAACATGAGTGCAATTAGCTTAATTAAAATTTTTGTATTTTTAAAAAATACTAAAAAAGGGCTCGAAATAATAGATTTTCTCACAAAAGAAGGTAACTTGAAAAAAAAAGAAATAAAATCGGTCCGTAAACAAGATGCGAACCAAGGCATTACGCTTTCGCGACTGCTCGATATCCACTTGAGCTATTACGGTCATTAACACAGTGTCAAAATTTACCTTCTTATATCGTAGCAGTTTTTCATTGCCTGAAGAAACGGACGAAAAACATTTTCTAAAAACAAATCCTAGCTAGATCGATTTATTGCCCCCGAAACTCCCTGGACATTAAATTTTATGAAAATCGTTGGAGCCGTTTCCAAGATTACGATTATATATATATATATATATATGATGAAATCACTCAGTAATCAAGTATATTTGAAGATAAAAGTTATACAGGATAGATATACTTTAAACCAACCGCGATAGGATAGGTGTAACTTAAACCTAAGTGTATCCGCACTTCCGCTTTAAGTCGTAACATATGCACATTTTTATAACTTTGATTTTAAACCATTAAATCATCATCAGCGGCCCTATAGTTCATAATTAGTCCTCTGCTAAACTTAGGCCTTCCCAATAATTTCCACAAAGCACAGTCCTGAGTCACCTGTATCAACCAACACCTGCATGTTTTATCAGATCGTTAAAGATACTGCTTTACATTGTGCTTGCCAGAAAGCATAATATTAAATTTTTTATAAACAGTGAAAGCCGTCAATAAATTAAATATTAAAAAAGTGCAAAAACTTACACTTTATAAAAAATAAAAGCTAACTTGAAAGAACTAAAAACAATAAAATTATTTCATATTCTGAAGTCGGGGTTATAATTATTTTATACACAACGTATTTGCACCGATTTCAGAATTTGAAAGTATTGTTTTGTTTTTTTTTTAGATATTTGAAATCAGCTTTTGAAACATAACACAACATAAACACTAACACCTGCCACCCAGAGGGGTAGGCTGAGACTACGGACTTCGATTTGGCACGACCCTGACATATTTATCTCGTCTCCTTTACATCCATATACCTAAACATACACGCTCGTCGGTTAAATGCGCCATTGATCTTGCCCATCTTCAATGTATCTATAATTTGGTCGATAAACTTTCGTCTAGGGCGTCCTATCCCGATTCTGCCTTTCGCTTCTGCAAACCTTTTGCTTTGTCATTCTTTCCTCGTTCATTCTTTCTACATGAGCAAACCAATGAAGCATTCCTTTCTTAATCCTGATCTCAATATCATCTTGCAAACAGCACTTAATAAAGTTTCATTTTTTGACCCTTTTGTTCGGACTAAGGAATATAACTAGCTCAAGGCAACTGGAACGATGGCTAAATAGCTACATTAAAAACTTAATTTTGCCACCCTTATAGGTTGTATTTTTCTCCAAATGTATATACGGCTGCCTTCGAATAATAACCGTAGAATAAGAATAATCTTCGAAGAAGAACAGCGTGTAAGAAACTTAAAAAATATGTGAACTTATAATAACATACAGTTGATATAAATATATTTTTTTTAATATAACTGACTAACTGAAATGTTTTATCCTCTAGTGGTTCTTCAAGTGATTAAAATACATAAGATGTAAATTTTTATCGCTCACCGTAATTACGTACTACCGTACTAAACGTGGTAATTTCTCACCGAATAAATATTACAATTCTAACAAATATAGACGCGTGAACGCGATATGATATCACCGTGTATACTGGTCGAATGGTCAGTGATCAAACGTTCTTGATCATTGAGTAATCTTGACTCAAGGGCATGATTGAAAGAAACTGCAATCCGTGTTTCGAATTAAACAGTGGTGGAATCGTCGCTGTATAGACAACATCGTCTGTTTGCAAACGTAAGCTGGTGTGCAAAATGCCGAAGGCTAATTGATTAGTCGTAGCCCGGTCGTAGAGTTGGGCAGAGTGATTCGCCGCCATTTCATGATTTGATCAATAAAACATTGAAGTAACAGAAAAATGCCACGCAGGGTTTATCTTATATATTTTATACGTGGTAGAGCCAAGCTGCAGTTAATTACGGTTGTAGCACGAATGGGTCGACTCGACCGGGATAGCACGCTCTCACAGAATACCAGCGTAAAATAACAGCTTAATACTGGAGTGTTTCGAATAGTGAGTGTAGAGATCCGGAGACCCTTTTTTACTGGAAACGAGGCATTCCATCCTAGTCCTCAGGGTGACAACGCATCTGCGATGGGCCACAGCATCTGATGACATTCATCATCAGATCGTTGACAGCAACCATCGGGTAGACTATGTGCTCGTTTGTCACATTTATTATATAAAAAAAAATCTAATTTACAGTTGGATTAATATACAATTATTTTTATTGCTCTTACGTTTTTGTGTTTCTGGTGATGTTCCGTTAAGGTAATAAGGGGCGAATATAACTTAAGTTTAGAGTAAGGTATTATATTACTATATTGAGGTAAAAGTTATTTCATTTCATTCTGTGTCTTAAGAAGCAATAGAGGAAAATAAAACGGGAGATGGGCAGCAGCAGCTTATTGATAACTCAAAATAGTACAAAACTTCGGTTGCCAATCATGTGGTGTACAAACTGCACTGCGCTGGACAAATTCTGGCAAATATCCCTCCTATGAGGCAATATGTGGGCGAGGCCTACGTTCAGCATTGAATTTCTGATATGCTATAGATAATACTGAATGAACGAAATGAGTTCAAAAATATTCTGTGGACCTATTACACGTGGAGTGAAAGTTTACTTTTTCTTTGCAGTGACCATGAGTAGCGTGACAGTGGGTGCTGCAATGCTGCAATGTACTAGAACTCGAGGAATCTTACATAACATACTTCAAAGTTTTTGTAAAAGATGACGACTTGATAACGGGTTAACCCAACAGCAGTATTAAAGCACCGAAATGGATACCACAAATTAAGGTTTTGGACGAAAATAATTTTGAATTTTATCGAGTTTAATTTATTGATTTAAACTACTTTTACGGATTTTATCGCGTTTAATTTAATTTTAATTATTTTTATTTTTTATTCCCGACGTTTCGGGTGCTTTCCAGCACCCATGGTCACGGGGGACTGAGGTGACTGACGTCCCGATGTCATTGTTAAACCCGGAGTACCTTCAGCTTTTTTAATTATTGTTTATGGTCCGATCTATGCAAAATGAACTATGTCTTGAGGTCTTGCAGTGGTGTGCTTGGGTTTAGTTTTAATTTTATTGATTATAGGATCCCAAGCAGGTGGTAGTACCCAGCCTCCTTCTCTATTTAAATTAGGATGTTTTTTTTAAATTTCAATAGCCTCACGTGTCATCCTATTCTATCAAATCTTATGTAGTGGTTGGGGCCGACTAGGATATGATCACAAACTGCAGACTTCCCGGAACGTTGATGCTTCAAATCAGCTATATGTTCTTTTACGCGGGTTAACGCGGTAATAATGGCCTATTATATTAGCTTCTGTAACTCAGGTTAACCTTTTACAGGAGCTAAGGTCACATTGGTATGTATAAAATCGTTTTTGTTTTAATAAAGATTTTTTTCAATTTTCAATCATTTGGTCCATAATTGTGCACAATAATACAAGAGCAACCTCCGAAGTGAACTTTGTCTGGATAAAGTGAAAGGCCGCATGTATTGAATGTCTGTGTAAACATTTGTGAAAACGATTAATATGTGTCTGTCTAATAATCAAACATCAACCTAAGGTTAAAATAGTACCACAATCTATACTTTAGAAAAACTCTAAAATGACGATTGCTGTAAATTGAACATTTAGATGCTAAAACAAAAAGTTTTGAAAGCGTTGATTGTCTGCTTGAGCGCACAATACACAAAAACCTGACAACGGAGTTGGACGAGACTTTCACTATAATTTTACGTGGAGGTCGAACTGTTAACTTAGAATAAATATTGCTCGCTAATCGCTATTGCTACACGCTATCTATTATAGGACCTGATCAGCATGTATAATTATCTGGATACATATTATAACGTGTAAACATATAGACAAATAAATTAGGTTGAGTTTCTCACACAATGTTATTTAGTAGTTTGGTCGTTAGAATGCTATAAATTTATCCGACTATTGCACGGGAACGGGCGGGCTGGGCGTTATGTTGGTCTGATAGTTTTTATGTTTCTCATAGGAATAAGCCATATTACACCAATGTAAACTTTTGTAAGTGCATATTTCTTAACGATGTGACGTAGAGCTAGCTTGCGCGCCGGGGATGTAAATGTCTTTTTTAAATAACCTCTGTCTGTTAAAAGTGCAATAAGTGTAATGTTCTTCTTCTATTAAAAAGTATTCAGAGTACATACTAACCATTTAGTGGTGTGGTGTTGTAAGAATATACTTGTATATATTGTATATTCTTGGGTATTGTCGCGCCTAAGTTGATGTCTGGTACCTGGCACTAGCGCAATCTAGTGTCAGGGAACAGAGCGAGGAGGGCTTCCTAGAAAATGCCAATCCTAAACTTTCTACCAACAGCGCCATCTAGTATCGAACAGAAGAATTAAGCTTTCTAGAAGGGTCCACTCTCGAACTTTCTGAACTTAGTCGGTCGGGACCGGTATTTTCCTGGAACATTCTTGGCGTTACAAGCGAAGCTTCGGAGCGAAATAAAGTGAATCAGTGTGATTAATTATTAGTGTCTTTTAGGTTTTAATTGGTGTTCGGTAGTAAAAGTGTAAATTTCAATGGCACACAACTCACGTTTTCACAACCTCAAGCTCGTAACAATTGGTGTCAGAAGTGGGATAAAATCATGCCAATTTTAACTAAGGAGGAAACGGAGAGTGTCCGTACCCGAAGTCAACGCCAGCAGAAGACGGATCAGAGATGATTTGGTGACGCAACTCCGCAGATGTCGGAGGGCCAGCCGCCGGCCACGGAGGCCAGCCCGTCAGTAGCTCCTGCATCTGCAGCACCTGACTTAGGTGCTCTGATGGTGATGCTGCAGGAGCAGGCCCGTTGGTTGGAAGAGCAGCTGTAGCTCGGACGAGAGGAACAGGCCCGTCAGTTGAAAGAGCAGCAGGAGGAACAGGCCCGCCGACAGGAGGAACAGGCTCGCGGACAGGAGGAAGAGGCCCGTTGGTTGAAAGAGCAGCAGAAGGAACAGGCCCACCGACAGGAAGAACAGATGCTCCTCGTGAAGGACATTCACACTAGCTTCGGGAAAGAGATAAGGGAGGTGAAGGAACCCTATGCTCAACATGACAACCACCTGTCGGAAGCTGAAACCCGAATCGAGGAAGCTAACACCCGAATCGACCAAGTGAATCATCGGGTTGACAACGTAATGGCTGACATGAAGAAATCACTGGACGAACTCAAACTTGGGGATGGAACTACATCTCCCGTAGTAGCTACAACACCTTCGCTACGTGGGTTCAAAATGCCACCGTTCGACGGGACTTCTTCCTGGTCGGCTTACAAAATCCAGTTTGAGGCCGTCATAGAGGCGAACAGCTGGAATAAAAGCCAGGCCATGACTGCACTCACCCTAGGCCTGCGCGACCATGCCTTAACTGTGTTAGAAGTTCTCGGTAAGAAAGTGACCTACGAGCAGCTCCTTGAGGTATTGGAGGAGAGATATGGCGACGCTCACCTGGAATACGTCTTTCGCGTGCAGCTTAAAGATCGCGTGCAACGCAGCAACGAAAACCTGAAGCAGTGGGCTCTTGAGGTCGAGAAGCTGGTGCGAAAAGCATACCAGTCTGTACCTGCGCTCATTGAAGGGAACCTGGTGCTGACATTTATCGACGGCATCCGCAACCTTGAAGTCAGAGCTGTTGTGAGGCTCGGGCACCACGTGACACATAAGGACGCCTTGGCCCATGCACTGGAGGTTGAAGCCGTGCGGCAGGATCATCGTTCCAATCGCATCAGGGAGGTTGCAGCAGCTACAGTTCGCGACCACAATAATGGATACAGCCCTAGGTGCTATGGCTGTGGAGAAAGGAGCCATCTTCGATCCAGCTGCCCTAAGCGAACTGTAGAAAGGAAAGGTATTCGATCTCGGTGGGGTAGTGCAGCTAACGGTACCGCCCAGCAGCGGCAGGATCATCGTTCACCTCACGATAGGGAGGTAGCAGCACCTACAATTCGTCACCACAATAAAAGTTACAGCCCAAAGTGCTACGACTGTGGAGAAAGGGGCCATCTTCGACTCAGCTGCCCTAAGCGGTCTGTAAAAAGGGAAGGTGATCGATCTCGAAAGTGTAGTGCGGCTAACAGCACCGCCCAGCAGCAGCAGGAATACGACTTTGAGATTGAACATCGCAGCGGGAAATCTCATGGCAAAGCAGATGCATTGTCAAGAAGACCTTGTCCTGAAGATTGCAAACATTGTACTAGGCGAGAGAGTAAGGAAGTGGTATCCGTGAGGATGCTCAGGACAGACCACCTCAGCAACGAGTGGAAGGACAGCTTACAAAATGCACAGCAGGAAGATCCGAACATCAAGCCGATTCTGGAATGGATGAAGGCCAGCGCTCCCAAGCCCAAGTGGAGTGACGTCTCAGCAATGAGTTCGATCACTAAAAACTATTGGGCCCAGTGGGACAGCCTGCTGCTTCAGGATGGAGTTCTGTGCCGTAAATGGGAAAATGTT